CACTATATTGATTATGTATGGTTTAATATTTCACTGTCAAAAATGAACTATTGGAAAATGATTAGTTTTCAATATTTACTACCTCATAACACTCGTCGCTCCACTCAGAATTAAAAAGTTTGAACTTTTTTTTTAAATAGTTCTTTGACCGGTGTCAGGTTAATTATAACATGTTAATAATTAATGTTATTTGTATGGATCCTAAAAAACACAGTAATTTAACATAGGTACATATTATAATATATTGACTTTTTGTGTGGATTTAGTATTAGTCACTGTACTACTGTRGTTTAAGGAAAGGTGGTTCATTAACACTTTTCAAGGATAAACAATTATTTTTAAACTGTTTATTAATGGTTAATAGTGTTGAGACTAATTGATTGTCAAAAGATTATGTTAAATTTCGTTTCATATAAAAAACAAAATAGATCTGGGCCAGAAAATATTCATATTTTATAAAATTTGGTGTAATTATAATAATAATTACCCATTCCGCCGACGATATTAAGAAATTTGACATCTGAATATAAGCATAATCTTCAAAAAGCACAAAATTATGGCAATATAAGAACAGTGAATATGATTATATTATCATTGCACATWRGCAGTATCTGCATATCTTTTTTTTCTCGGATAAATTACTAAATTTTTCAAACAGAAGCAGGTATTTTTATTCGTTCRAAGCTCTAATAGAATATTTTTTGCGTTTCTGGATTCAAATAGTTTTTATTTAGAGCCATTTATCTTCGCGCAAATGCCGTAGTCATATACGCGAAATTCGTTTGTTTTTGACGATAAGATGGAATTTCGTGTACCGCTTTCCGACAAATTAACATTGAAATTATCTCAGATGGGTGAATGTCTATAAATATATATTATACAAATATGTGCGTGTGTCTACAATGACCTAAGCTGTTACCGTGTGTACTATATACGATACATGCAGCTTGTGGCTTCTGCAGTCTACAGACTCCTATCCCACTACAACCTGCTATAATATATATCTATCGTAGAAATAAATTCTCTCTTTATCACAGTGTTTGTTATGCCATCAAAACCATCGGCGACTAATAATTACAGCCATCGTATATATACCTAAATTACGTCACTTACTCAAAAACCACTCTCCCTTCCGCTCGGCACATTATGTCGTTTTATTATCATCGGTGTATGGACGTTCATTCTTCCTCTAGAGCCGCACTACTTTCACCTGACCGCTCAATAGCTGTGAACTCATAACCGAGCTGCACACGTATAATACGCTACGACAGGAGTGATCGTCTAACGTGAGTAAAACATTATTTTCAATTTGTAAATTAAAAATATACTTCTTGTTTCTGTATCATATAGATTTTTAATCATGAAAAATGAAATAGTATAATATTTAAATAATCAAAACCCTTTWCGGACGACGTTTCATCGTGAATAATTAATGTGTAGACGATATCAGGTTACGATAAAGACGCATAATTTTGAGTTTTGGTTAGAATACAAGTACAATTTGAAACATTTCTAAAATATACAATTGCAGTTATTATAGCYGTAAAAATAATTATGAGACAATATTTTTCGATATGAWMGGAAATTCTGTAAAATTCGTTCACCCATAATAATAATAATAATATAATCTAACTTAGGTATGTAATATTATAAAATTGTTCAGTTTAGTAAGAACATGCAGCTGTAATTATTATTCGAGATAATGTCATATAATGGTATAGCTATTGWTATATTTTAACAGAAAATTAATAATTAAATAGTGATTTAACAACTGTTACACAACCAGTGTCGTATTTATGGGGGACAAGGGGCCCGTGCCCCTCCCCCATTGACCTACCTATTTATATATTTTATTACTTTAGTAACTGCTTACWACAGATGGGATCGTGCCTATTTTTAGAAAGTGTATATTTTTAAATTGGGATAATTTATTTGTTTTAAGTATATTTGTATGATTATATATTTGGTGTTCTTTTGTGCCCCCCCCCCTATTATTTATTTCTATTAACAGAATAATACCTACAATATTATAMAGTACACATACATTCATTGGTCCTTAAAAAGCAACAATTATCACCTGGATTGACGCACAGAAGAGTGTTATTTTTATTCTTAAAGATTTAGTGTATAAAAGATTACAGTGATAATAACGCAATATAATTTGGTTTGGTATAATACAAAAAAAACTATCTAAGTAATTATCATTTCATTAGTATAATGGAGTATAAAATATGAAACCAGCTAGATAAAAACATTAGTACATTTAATC